TAAAACCGGACTCGCTGAACATAGCAGACAATGAGGACTACTGAGACCTCAAGAACAATGGCAATGGGTTTTTGATCCTACTGCACGTATTGGCTTTGTGGGAGCCTAGGCAGTTTGGATGCTCACCTTACTAGACCTGGATGGAGGTGGGTGGTCCTTGGACTTCCCATAGGGCAGGGGACCCTGAATGCTCTTTGGGCTGACGAGGGAGGGGGACTTGTTTGGGGGAGGGGGAGGGAAATGGGAGGCAGTGGCGGGGAAGAGACAGAAATCTTCAATAAATAAATAAATAAATTAAAAAAACTCGTGCCTGTGAGCAGATCTCACTAAAATATTGCATGTACATTTTCTATCTCCATCCATCCATCCATCCATCCATCCATCCATCCATCATCTCTCAAACTACTTTCCACAGGGAGTATGGTAAGGAAGAGGATGTGAGGATGTGTAGATGGTCAACACTGCCTCCTTCTAGAGCTCACAAAGCAGCAGCCATGAAGGGTACCTCTCCATCACTGTAAGGGCACTGGCTTCTTTAATAGAGGGAGGGACTAAAGATTTTTTTATTCATGGATACTTTGTCTTATTTTACTGTGTGTGTGTGTGTACATGGTCACATGTGTGTTCATGGATACATTCACACATATATGCACAATTCAAAGTTCAGCACTGAATGTTCCTCAGTACCCTTTGCCTTATTTTTTGAGACACTGGGTCTTAGTGAACCCGGAACTTACTGCTTTACTAAGCTGGCTGATCAGCAAGCCCCATGGATGCCCTGCCCCCCTCTGCATCCCTGGGGTTGTAGGCTTTTCCCCTTTGATCCTGTTTTGTAACAGGGTAGTGTGCTATAGGGGTCAAAGCTCAGGTTCGCTCTCTTGCACAACACACCCTCTACTGACAATTATTTGCCAGCCACGAGAGTTTATTTTTCAGAGCAGATTCATTGCTAAAGAAGAGGTGACATAGCAATTTCAACAAAGATACAACATAAATACGTGGCAAGGCATTTCTTGTGAGCTGAGAGTAGCCTGATCGTTTGTAGGTTATGGATTTCATTAAGCTCCCATTATTATCGGTTAACATTTTATTGCTTAAGTTACACGCTGCGTTCATTTCAGAATGTTTTCTGCTAACTAACTTTAATAGTCTGAGGAATGTGTTTTGTTGCTTTTGGTTGCTGTAACCAAATAGCTTTCAGTTCACAGCATTTGGTTTCATGGGTTCTGGGCTGGTGGTGAGGAGCAACATCCCAGTGACAGGGTTTGTGGCAGACAGTAGACAGAGGAAGACAGGAAGAATCCATAGACAAGATAGTACCACAGATCTGTTCCTAGTGACCTATTTCCACTAGTAAAGTCTTACTCCTAGGTTCCAAAACCTCCCCAAATAGTACCATTTACTTGTCTTTTCTGGGAAAACAATTCATATCTACACTGTGACTATATGCATTCCAAAGAAGACCCATTAAAGTAAAATTAAAGTGTTAAGTGGATAATGGCTTTGATAAATATGACACAAATTTTATATTCTTTTTTTTAAATTTTTTTATTTTTATTTATTTTTTTTTGTTTTTTCGAGACAGGGTTTCTCTGTGGTTTTGGAGCCTGTCCTGGAACTAGCTCTTGTAGACCAGGCTGGTCTCGAACTCACAGAGATCCGCCTGCCTCTGCCTCCCAAGTGCTGGGATTAAAGGCGTGCGCCACCACCGCCCGGCCAAATTTTATATTCTTAAAAGATTCTCTTTTTCTTTCATATAATAATGAAGGAGACATAAGTAAGGATGGGTAAGAGTGAGGCATTTTTGCAGACACACTATTATTTCTATTTGATTGTTAAACTTATTTCAGAATATTAGACTGCAAAATGCCCATGTGAACACCACATATACAGAATGTCACTGTATCATCAAAGGATTATAGATGCAGAGAATTTTATAAAGTAGAATATTGGAGAAGAGCAACACAACACAATTTATCCTTGAATAACATGAAGACTTGAAAGGATAACCTTACATCTGTACATGTTTTCCTTTTATTCTGTTTATAACATCAAAACGATCCCTTTCTGCTGTTTGTCAGAAGGGACCATGTGCTTGTGTCCCCTTATCTTTTGTCAAGTAAAATGACAGCATGGATACAGAAGAAGTCCTGTCTTGATAAATGGACACACCTGGGCTGGAATCTCATCCCAGCTCTTCCTTATCGATGTGTAGCAGGACTTAACCTGCCTTACACTATTTCTTCACAGAACAGAACCATTAACAGTTGTTTAGCTGTTTCTTCTAACTGAAACAATGTCTTCTGGAAAGGAGAAAATACCTGTACGAGACTCAGGAAGTTCCAGAATTTATGAGGGATTTTGTGAGCAGCATATAATTGCTAGGAGAGAAAGG